GAGAAACTGCTGGTCGGTACGACCAGGAACTCAGGCTCAAGACTGGATGCCAAAACTGGAGCTGGAACTCGCATTAATTCTGGATGATCTCTACACACCGTTCTCACTAGAAAAGGAAACATTCATTTGATGTTCAGTACATTTTTTCAGGTAAAAAAGTGTTGCATGCATGGCTACGGCAATGGCCAATACACGAAAAAAATAATTTATGCCTCTCTTTTTTATCAATAGACAGAACTTTGGAGTTTGCAACTTATTTGCATTTGAACGCACCTTTTCGGACCGATATCACCAATGACAGAATTTGTGCTAAGTGACATGTGAAAAGTGAAGTATTCCCAATAGTTTTACTTCTTGTTCTAGGTTTAATTTACATAGTTATTTCTGCTGCTGTTGTTGTTCTTCTTTACAAACAAAAAGGAACTTTTTACCAGTTCACCTTTTGTTGCACAAGCGCTTTTTGAACTGAAGTAAACTGTTATATTGAAACAAATTTCAAGATCTGAAAAAGTAAGACTAAGTTTGTCTTTGAGAATAGTGAGTTGGCAGTATCTGTTAAAATATGCCTTGATGAATTTTCCTTGTGTACGCTTTTGTTCCAACAACAAACATTGAGGGTGTACACTATTGTTTACTTCACATCAAAGTTATGTTGACAAATCATGATTAACTGTACAGTGCATGATGATAATGAATGAATACCTTTATTTAAGTGTCAACTGACTAATGTAGCAGTAGAAGAACCACTACATTAACAAGGGGACACTAAGTAAGAAGACTGAATGCTCTCCACGTTGGAAGTAATTGGATTCAAAATCCTCGCCATGATTTTCATCCAATTATTTCCAAACTGGACAGCATGTAGCCGCATTTCATAATTTTTCAATTTCAATATAAAACAGCATTTACCTGAGGACTGCTTGTCAGGAGATACCAGTGAATGTGACAAAGCTATTTTTAAAGGACTCACATTCTGTTTGCGATTGCGACGTGACACCCTCTGCCAGGAGAATGCACCATGTCCATATGGGGAAGTCTGAGGAATACTGACACCATGTAACAATGATGCGAGAGATGTCTTTGTAGACCTAATAGCACTGCCGCCATCATCATCATCTTCAGTTTGCAAAACATCAATCACTTGTAGAAGCTGGTGTGCCATGGGCGATGTCGTTACTGATTCTTTTTTGGTACAGCTTTTATCATCTCCTGGACTGTTCTTGTCATGTTCATGACTTGATGCACTTTTTGAAGGACTTAAATGAAGCATCTTTGCTTGGTTATTAGACGCATCCGTTGTCACTTCTTGACTGGACACTGCACTGACAGTTTGAGGTGCTGGTGGCATTTCTGGGCTAACTTGCACTACTGGTGTACCTGTGGTGGTACTGTGAGGAGAAGGATGGCAAGGCTGTGGCACACGGTTAACACTTGTGTGAGAAAGGCAAGCTGGACAGTGACAATGTACTGGCACTTGATGAACAACACATGGTACCTGTCCATGATCATGTGACACAGAGCATTCTGACACAGCTGGATTTCCCAACGAGATGCTTGATTTGCTCAATGTATAGACTTTTGGTCCTTCACAGTCATGAACAAACACCCGTTGCTCATCCGATTCACCAGATTGGGGATTAATCCAAGAAGGATGAGATCTGCTGGCTGTTGACAATGCTGGGGCCACAGTTGCTTGTGGATTTTGAATTGTTAGCCCAGCTGCAGTTCCTAGACTCAAAGAGTTTACTGTTTTCTGAGCTAACTCAACTTGATCCTGAAGAATGGCTAGAGTGTCTGAGGCATGTTTCATCTGATTATGAAGCAGGCTCAGGCACTGATCTGCAAAGGAGACCTGGTTCTTAAGAACAGAGATACTTTCCTTAGCATCTTGAACTTGTCGTAACAAGGTACCTTCAGGTGCCTTCGGCTCCTTTACATTGCTTTCTGTTTTTGCATCAGTTGTTGCAGAATAAGTGTAATCTGTTGAAGTGCCTGATTCCATATTGTTATCAAGTCAGCTTTCTATGACACTGGAAGGGAAGAACAAATTTCTTTTTACTTTAAAATATCATGACAGTTCATGAAAGTTAAAAACTAAAATTACTGGTAATAACAAGAGGAATGACAGGGGCATAGCTAGGGGGGTCCTGGGGTGCCCGTGACCCCCCCCCCCCTTTGGTAGGCCTTCTTTTGAGCAAACAACCTACAATATTCAGGTGGCGAAAACGCCATGACAATATCTTGGCGGTAAAAGCCATTGTTGAAAAGCCCACTTTTTTTAAATTTGTTTTTTTGTAAAGTATTTTCGTCAACGGCTTTTGTCTATAGTTAATATGGGCCTTCATGCCACGATAATACAAGACTGAGCCCGCTGATACAAGAGGGAGAGCAGCAGTGAGTAGCCTCTGTGACCCCCCCTTTGAAAAATCCTAACTACGCCCCTGAATGATATTGCAACAAAATTATTAAACTGAGTAGCAAGCATTAACGCATGTGTTTCAAAGAGAAAGTTGATACAAGAGCGAGAAAAACCTTTACTTCCCCTCTAAGGAATTTGGACTCAATCTGAGCAGAAGATATATAAGCATTTCTTCTTTGCTGATCATTTAATTAATTCTCTTGATCCCCTCTCTTGATTCTGTATTGATATTCATTAGGGAGGATTAATATTTTTATCGATGTTGGTCTCTTGGGACTTAAAGGGGTAAATCTTCATAACCAGCTTTAATAAAGAGTTGATCAAATTTGGAATAAGTTTGCAGATATCATTAGAACTGACGTCATTTTTTTAGTGTACGGATATCAACATAAAAGAGGCAACAGAAGGCACTGTAGCTCAGATATTTTGGCAGATCTGGAGAAAATGGCAGAAGATCTCAAAAAAACATGGCAAGAATAGCAAAAATACCACTCAAGAGGTGACAACCACTATTTCAAGAACCTCCGCTAGAATAAGCATCCCTTTACAACCTGAAACTGCCAAAGACTAACCAAACGGTAATATAAAGGTGAAAACTTTACATACAGCCTGAAGATCGAGATAGGCACGTTTTGCTGAAGATGGAAATATGTTGAATGAATAATAAAACAATAACAATAAATAACTGTTTTATTTTTTCATTCAAATATATATTATTGACTTTGGCTTTTGCATGATATAAAGAATTATCTAGGAGTTATTTTTCTTGGCCAATACCACCCTCCTTGATCTGCATAATTCTTCATAGCATACACAGCCTCAACCAATATTATTGCTAATTAGATGTGACAAGCACCGGCATGCATACTGCTAAGGGATCAAAAATGTCCAGTGCACACTATTTGGTGATATAAATAATGAAAAATGGTAACATTTTTTATAATGAAATTAGTAAATGAAATATTCACCATGAGTGAGGAGGGGGACTGGAATGATCTACAGTGGAACCTCAATTCAACGAACCTCTATATAATGAAGTCCTCAGTATTGCAAACAGTTTTCTTCAGCCTGGCCAAAACTACAGTAAATGTATGGAACAGAACCTGGATATAACAAACCTCGATTTAACGAAATCCTCATTATAACGAACACAATCAACAAGTGCAAACATAAATTTACCTCAATATAGCAAATAAAAAATGATGTGATAAAAGATGAATGCCAAACACTGGACCAACAAGGATAAAACTTATGTGTACAGTACTTTAAAGCAGTTTTGTTTGCCTGTTCTTGAGTTTCTAACAATCTGGTGCCATAGCTATGTAAAGCTTGGTACTGAAATGTTATTACAGTAATTTTTCTTGAAATGCTGGATTTTGTAAATTAATTATTAACTATACCTCGATATATATAACGAACATTTTGATAGTTTTCCCGGAAACTTGTTAAATAGAGGTGTTCAAAATAACGAACCCTGAATTTAACAAACAAATTTCCCCTGCAGTCCCCTTGGCACTTCGTTAAATCGAGGTTCCACTGTAATTAGTTCCAGAGGGGGCTGAATAGGGGTATGCAAATCCACTGATCCGTTATGATTTATTAACCAAATCTGCCGTGAAAATTTTGCCTGAATCGGAAATTCAGGCAAAAATATTTTAATTATACCCAAAGTCCAATATCCAGGCCCAAAAAATGGATGAATCTGCAATTCGCTGCAATTGCAGGATCCAGAAATCCGTTAAAATCTCACTTTGAATCCGAAATCTGGGGAAAAATATTTCAAAATCCGCTGATCCATTTCCCTATTCACCCCCCTTGTTCCAGATAGCCTACAATCCCCTTGTTCATCAAATTACAGTTGTATTGAGTTCAAATAAAATGTTATCACTGTTTCATAATCTGCTGACATCAGAGTGATGTCACCTGTTTTTGATTACACACCAAATAGATGCCTAGGCAAGGAATCCATACTTACTTAACAGACCTACCCCAATAGTCCATGGCCATGGGGAGGGGAATGTGCACTCATCGCCCTCCCCCTGCCTACCCCAAATTCAGATTCAGTTTGGCAGGAATTTTAGTATTACAAGATCTACTGACTATGCATAAAAACTTTGATATCTGATTTAAATATTGAAAGGTGCCACATTTACCATGCCTTAAATTTTGCAGATTAGCCAAGATTTGAAGTAGATGTCAATATAATGTCTGAGAAATAGCCATTTAAAAATTAAAGCAACTCTCTAACTTGACCTGCAAATTACAACCTGATGGTAGACTTTTGAGAGAGTTATCATTGTTGAGTAAACATTGAATTGGTTGCTTAGAATACAACAAAGTGATGAAATATAAGAAATGTCTTTTAAGACTCTTACAGAAGCATGCACCCCTTAAAACGGAAGTTAACATTTGTACACGTATTATTAATGAAAGAAGTTACCTAGTTAACTAGACATGGGACAGCGAACAGAAAATAATAAAAAATAGGTAGTTATCTCGACAGTAAAGGAAAATGATTTTAATGAATACAGACACCGTATTAAGCTTATAACGACGATAAATGAATTTGCATTCAACTCAAAATTCATCTCAGATATTTTTAACAAAATGAACCTCTCGGTTTTTGCCCGTCACGAATTTCAGTGACAGAAAAGAAAACATTTCGATCAACGCACGCGGCAGTGATGGTGCACATATTGCGCTGAATTTTAAGCATCAGGCGGACACATGAAATTACAGAATTTTTCTTTAACATTTGCAAAAGGGCACTCTAATAATTAGTCACGCCGCCTAGAGACAATCGTGAACCTTTGATAAAAATTCGAACTCCAATGTCGCGAGTATTACAAAAGTACAGTGTACGAATATTTTCACAGATTTTAACACCTGTTGAACGAGTGCTTCGATTATCTGAAGTCATTTCGATTGAACAACTTCGAATCAAGGCGAACGTGCACGTAAGATATCTTCCAACGAATAATTCGATCTCAAATTTCCCGGGAATAACATCCGTTCAATCGAATGAAAGGCAATGTTAGTTCAGAAGCGTTCATGCGGGAAGTGTTGTTTGAGAAAAGCGACATGAAGCAAGGCAACAAAGCTTTTCAATCTGACTGAATTCAAAAGACACGCGAAGTGCCAAACACGCAGTCTTTCAGCTTGTAGTCATCGGAAATTATAACTAACCTTCACGCGATCTTGTTCCTTCCGCTCCTTCAAATTCGATTCTCTTTCGCGCCTGTCGGCATATAGTTTAACAGAAGAAGACATCTACACCACAAACACGACAACAAATCAGGTAAATTTGGCATTCCAAAGATAAAATCCTCCTATGAAAAGTTGCCTTCGACGGGTCTTCGTTACTTCGAGTACAATTGGAATATAAAAGACGACATATTAGCCGCGGATTTCATTTTGCAATTAGGTACTATTGTCTGTCAGCCAATAAGAAGACAAAACCGGACAACTGGTAGACTCGTTTATTCCTTCCACCAACCGCTCTTCGACTTCCGCCAATCACGAGCGGGAGTTGAACAATAAATGCCAATCAAGTCGTTTTAATCACGGTAAGATAATGAGATACCGAACCAATCATGGAGCCGGCACATCATTAGCTCGCTGAGGCTTCGGAGTCACTTCAGGAAAAAAAGCAACAAACAGTTTGAATATATGTTCAGCTAATTTATAATCGAAAAAGAAAATTATTCGGAGCGGTGCTGATATGAGCGATATCTTTTCGTTTATTAAAATCACATCTTGAGAGCGCTGTATATGGATAAATTTGTAATTAAATTCTTTTATTGTTTCAATCTACTTTGCAGGAGGTGAAATGTATTTTTGAAAAAAACATCTGCTCCCTTTGATCAGTTTGATTGATTAAAAAAGGAAATTATCGATTGCGCAAAAACCGCTGGTCGGTGCTCAGTTCATTAAAGTAGTTCTCCAGCAAAACCAAGGGTGGAATCCACTTGTTTTATTGTTTCAGAAACAGTGCAATATGAATAATCAAAAAATATACCAATACAGGCCCTGACTACATAAGAAACAGTTCAATCATCGGTCTACATGATATCGTGCTTGCCTTTGTTTCCATGAAACCGATGAACCGGTCCTTGCTTAACTGACAGAGAGACAATCGCAGATCCCTGCAGATCCGTCTGGACGCCCAGGGGCTACTCCATAAATTTCGGATGGCAGGAGCGTAGTTATCAGCTTTGCAGTAGCATAGTCTTTGTACTTCTCATTTTTTATTCTTATTTTATTCGTTTTTTTATTTTTACTACAGCTAAATTTTTATTTTTTTGTATACCTGATTTTAAATCCTTATATTTTCCTAGGGTAGGCACCCCGGATGGGTCTGAGTATCCCGACCGTGCCCATCCCTCTTTACGTTTGTATATTTTCATTTTTTTTTTTTTTCGATTTCAACTTGCCCAATAAAGTTTGACATAATAATAATAATAGTTAGCTGATTAGATATCTTTTCTAGATATCCAACGGTTGACAACCAGCAGGATCTTCGTCCACGGTTTTTGCAGTTAATTTCTTTCTAAAAGTTCCAACCTGACCGCCCTTTTCCCACTCAGTTCCTAGACAAAAGTTTGTCAAATCCCTTTCCGCCCTATCGCAAAATTATGACTAGTCTACTAACAGGGGATTTGACAGGGGCACCCAACGTCAATTTTCGGAAAATATCTGTTCGGAAGACGATTTGAGATCTAGAATTTTCGGAACATTTTTTGCAAAATTTCTTGCTTGCCTACCTCTCCTAGGATTTTCGAACATCTAAAAATTGGTGTAATTGCCCATTTTTAACGGATTTTTACCCTAAAAAGCTCACCTACAATTTTCGGGAGCCTTTTTACTGGCTGAAATTTTCGAAAAGGTAAGTTTTGATACCTATGATTTTCGGATCTCGAGACCTAGGAAATCCGAACAGATGAAAAATTTTTAGGGGATAAAAATATGCCTATATCTACCGTTTAAATACTAAAATACATTTAACAATGCTATGTTTAAGTGGTTTTGAACTATATTCTCTTTGGGTGCCCCTGATTTGACTGCTACCCAGGAAGCAAGATTTGGCTAAGGAGGGATTGGGCTGATTCCGAAAGAAAATGATATTCTGAAGTTGAGAGCGCGGGAATCTCGTAAAAATGGAGCATGCGCACGTCATGTATATGTGGGATCAGTAACCTCCTTTCCAGACACCGTACGTACCACCGATGCCCGGTCATGACTTTTTTGGAATCCGTTCAGGAGAGATACCACTACACGTTATTTGAACAACTGCGAGGGCTGGTTTGCTCATGGGGTGGAAGCATGTGTACGCAAGGACCGCTATACCATACTTTATAAATGTTAACTAGCGCTGACAAAAAGAGCATTTAATGAGCTCTACTTCAGCAATACTAGCCGGGCCTCAAAACTCTAACACTTTGCGATAGATTCATCTTCCCACAGTTTAAAAACACTTTTTCTCGCTTATTTCTTAGGTAAACACCGCAAAGACATAGACTGTTTCTGTATTCTTGGGATGAACTGAAGGCACTAACTCCTGGCTTGGGATGACAAGGAACAGTGATTTGTCGGGTTTGCACACAAGCCTCCATCTCATTTCATTGGGCGCGTTCTGACTGGAGGGTAATGTGGAAAAAGTCTATACAATAGGCAAATTCACCTCTTTATGGCACTGTACTCTTTAATATGCCATTTCCAGTAAGTTTGGACAGAAAAAATATCGAATTGCAATTTTAATATATACTTTCAGTACTTTATAAAAACATCCCGACAGAGACCACATTTTAGAGAAAGGTTTGCTTTAGACCTTCCTCACTACCGATTACTCCTCATTACTGGAAATTAACGCTGGTTGAGTTATTTGAAATTACTGACAGCTTAAATAAACGCAAATTAAGGTAAAATTACTTCCTAATGAAGGAGATTAACGCGAATGAGGGAGTAAAATTTTTAAATGAGGTAGGAACAAAAAAAAAGTAGGAACAGATTGGTTTTAATGCTAAATTTAAAACCATAAACATTAAGCCATGAGGCCACACTCTAAATCAGAAAAATCTGTTTTACCGCTAAAAATAGGGCCCTTTCGGTGAGTAAAGTACAGTCCTATTTTTGAGTCTAATTTGGCTCCCTTAAATCAGGGCCAATACAGTCCAATTAACTAGGGCTGATTTGGTCGCAGGGCTGAAATGGGCCCTACCGTGGGCTGGAATAGCCTTTTGATTGAGCTTTTGTGGCCTAAATTGTGCTCAAATGGCTCCAGGAAGGGCTGACTTTGGCCTGCAGGGCTGAATCGACACTTTGGGGCTGAAACAGATCTTTTCAATTTTCAGTGCAGGTAGACTGTATACTCACAGAATTGCCTTTTTTCGCATCGAGGTTAAAGATTCCTAGGGGTCAAGCGACCACGAGCATTTTTCGGGATCCGTAAAACTTGTGTTTTAAAATATAAAGTAAGGGCGGGAAAATTAAGGCTCCATCTAATAATTGACACTGAAATAATCATTCTCAAGAAATACCAAGGTCTTAATTTTCGCGTTTATTTCATTACGTGTTATAATTTACAAGTACGCATGCGTTATTTGTTTCAGTCTTGCAGCGGGAAATGGATCTCACATAGTAACGAGTCTTATATCTAACGGACAAACGGACACTAACTGGCAACCTCGTTCTAAGGTCTTCCCCTGGGAACGGGGTTCTAATGTAAGCGGACAGCTCAACGTGCAGGCGCCGCCTTCAGAACCTATTTGAACTCTCCGCTTATAAAAATCATTCTCCTAAGCGACTAGCTCCTATTGCGGACAATTTGTTCTTTTTTTTTTCAGAAGGAGCATCGACTGGACTGTGGTACAGCCATATACGAGTTGACCTAACCTGCGGTTAGGCGATCCTTCCTCCCTTTTTCTTTGGGAGGCAGGAGGAATGGCCCCTTATTACTGAGCCGGACTCGTATAGTATGGATTACAGAATACAAGAAGACAGAGCCAAAAGGAGGCCCTGATATGATCTCGGTAGAGTCTACATCCTGTCGGTCAGAAGGAGATCGGATACCCCACGAACCCTACACTCTGAAGAAATCTTATCTTACCTAAATATTTACGTTTTCAAGAAAAAAGAGAAAAACCAAAGTAAAGAGAGTCGTAGAACTTTAAACCCTGTTTACAACATTTTTCTCTCACCTCAATAACTTTCACGCCCATTGCCTTTACATACCGAACTCCGCAGGCGTTTTCGGTTGCATGGAGATCGATCTAGGCTTCATAAGGGCCGACCTCCATTTGAGCCACAGAATTTAAAAAGGAACTACAGGTGCAATCAACTGACAGTATTTTCAGTAACCAGGATAACGGAAGTCTCGAGCTTAAATGTTTTTGTTTTCTCAATGTAGGTCAGGAGATGTGCTCAAGGCAATTGGCCCTTTCCCTTTTCGTAAATTAAGTGTATATATATCTGCACGTGAATAAGACAAAATTTGAAAGAGACAGTACTAGTAAAGTTCACAAGAATAATATCACATAACCTACTCTGGGAAACAACACACACACAAAAGCTGAAGTGTGCTATTCTCAGTTGTAGTCTTAAAAATTAAGGTTTACCATAAACGTGACACACGAACGACCGAGTAAGAAATGACGTTGCCTGTGCCAGGCTCTCAAGACAGAAGGGACGTTGCGAAAATAAAACGAGCCAGAAAAGAGCGGTGCCCTCTCTCTCTCCGCAGCCCCTGCGCGTTTTTTGCATCACTTAATACTTCCTACAATCTACTTCTATCTTGAAGCCTGGGACAGGCTAAAAAAGACGCAACGTGAATATCCGATTAATGTTGAAGAGTATAGTAATAGACATTATGATTCTCCAGCCCTCATCATCAACGAAGCACTGTCAACTGTTGTCGCGATCCAACTTGTTCCAGTTAGTCAGTCACTAAGATGGCCATCAGAATAAAATTTTGTCTGGGTGGAATTTTCCGTCCTATAATTCCGACTCTTTTGAATTTCAGGAAATATGGTTCTCAGAAAGAGTATTCTCTGACAAGATCAGAGATTTCAGGTACCACAGATTCAACTGTAACCGTTTTCTTCTGAATACACTGACATATCTGTTTTATTTACAATCGTAAGCTCCGTTGTTGCTTCAGTCTTTCGTATCTTCGCCTTGCCTCCAGTTTATGGAGCTGATTTTGTTCGAGTTCATCGTTACTTGGATGACACATATTCGCTAGTGTTCTTTCAATGTTAGCCGAATAAACAGTATGTGAAGGAATTACTCTCCGATGAACCTGAAATAAGAAACGAAATGGATGAATCAGATAGAGTGCCACTTAAAAAGTCACGATTTCTTTAAGCCCAGCCTTCTTTGACAAGTGCGGTACGGGCCACGGGAATAAGCCATTTCCCAGTTTCAAACACTTTCACTCTCAAAACGAGGCAAAGTGCGAAGCGTTTCTCGTGAAAATGAGTTTTATTTGTATGAAAATAAAAAATAATTTTCGTAATATATGACTTCGCACTTTGCTTTGGTTTAAAGCAGACGCTCGGCGGGAGACTCGAAAATGCCCAATTGAAAATCCGTCATATTGCAAGCAATTTACGCGACTAAACGACTAAAAATCAACTAGGTCACAACACTCTTACAATAAAACAGTCATAACACCATCTAGTCAAATGTGTCTTTAAATTAAAACCTTGGGTATCCTAAAGTTTTGTAGCTCACCTGTAAAGCGTCTCTAAGATCCATCAGTGATATAGGGGGATTAGAAACAACTCTGCTATCACTAGAGGCAATAGTTACTGCTGCTTCCGCTTCAGCTTGTTCTAACGTTCTGCCGTTATTGCTGTTGCCAACAGACCTAATCACAAATCACACAAAATCGGTAAACTATGGTCAGCTGGTCTAATTAAGATATCTCTCGTGCCTACCTCAACCAATGTGTTGCTTCACTCTGACTTCGGAATACCCGCGTCATCTACCATCCCTAGCCTGAGAAAAAAGCCGACATCTCGCGACGCCACTACTAGTTTTTTAATCTCTTTTCGATGTGAAAGCGTTAAAGAGTATATCAGTAGAGGTAGCACTAGTTTTCCCGCGAAAATGACATCTGATGTGGTGTCACTACCTAGATCTGGGCCCTGAGTGCTTCTGATTGGTTGAAAATTTGCTTCATCCAATCAGAAGTAATCATAAGCGCTACCCAGATTTTGGTAGTGACGCGTCATCAGTATGGAGTTTCTGCGCTTTTTTCTCAGACGTCATTTGGCGGGGAAACCAGTGGTAGCTTCGCCAAATGTCGGCTGTTTTCTCGGGCTACTATTATCCCAGCCGGTCGAATCCCGGACAAATAAAAATTTTTTCTGGACAGAGAGAGGGACGTTTCAAAAATTACCAACACGGAAAGGGGGAAATGCAAACCATTTGTTTTTTCCTGTCTTATTCACAGCACGTTGGGAAGCAACGGCCAGTTTAAATTTTAGAATTTTCAAACAAACATTTTCTGTTGACACATTTTTTTTTGCTTCACTTTAGAAAAGGACTAAGATTAAAGCTACATAAATAGCTTTCCACTACACAGAAAGGCAAACTGATGAATTGTTCTGAATAAAGTCTGCAAATACTACGAAAAGAAAAAACACAAATGATGCCTGGATTGCCACCGAAAGGTTCAAAACGTAGTTATGATCTATAAATCACACGACGGTCTTGCCCCAGATTATCTCCGTTCTAAATTTGTAGTCTATCAACCCATTCATTAAAAGACTCCGAGGGCAAACTTTCCCTTCCGCTTCCTCGTACTGAATTCCGAAAGAGGAGTTTACCTATGCCGGGGCAGTGCTCCGGAATAGTCTTCCAATAGAGTTGCGGCAAGCTCAAACCCTTCAGAGTTTTCAGACACTGCACACGTTACTACCTTCAACGCAGGGCACCCTTGAAAAGCAGGTTTTGTTTTTTTAGAATACGTATTTTCTTGTATAAATATTGATGGTTATACTGTAATTTTTTTCTACTTTATTATTTATGTAATCCTGATGAGTTTTAACCGAATCGAAATAAAGATTACTACTAATGCCTCACCTTTCAGAATTTGGAGGCCAGGGACTTGTACTGTTTCTGAGATGTAGCCTAGGATAGGTGCTACCGATGGCGTAGCGAAAATGTCCATCTTTAAGTCTGAAAGAACTTCTCGTTGAACAACAAACTGTTAAGATATCTTTTACAAGGTGCTGCAATCAAAAACAATAAATTCCACTAAGTTAAATTCTTGACCTTACCACAGGGGTATGTCCACGTAATATGCAAACATTAGTGCCTTTAATAAGAAATGCGACTGATTAATTTAGGCCGAATTTCTTGTTGTGTTGGTAAGCCTGATAGTGATATATATGCTAGATGGCACTGGTGACCCCTTAGTACATCTCACTACACCTATTTACACTAACGCTGTCATAGGAAAATTAAAAAAAGGGAATTGAAAGAAGTTAAACAGGAAGAAAGAATCAAACTCAAAATGCTTAATTAGTGTGGCCAATTTACTTCTCTCAACCTTACGAATGTCAAATTGAAGTAATAGTCTTTCAGGATTTATAAAATATCAAAAAGTAATTTGCATGGCTATTATTAATACCTTTCTTTGTTTTGTTTGCTTTTGTTTTTACAGTGAAACCTCTCCTTTGGGACACCTCTAATTCAAGGGTCACCTTCATTCAGGGGACACAAAATTTGGTCCCGGAAAAATGTTCACAGAATCTTTGTATTTGTTGCCTCTATTGAAGGGACACCTCTATTCAGGGGAAAGGGACAAATTGTCAGGGTCCCCAAGCCTGGATTTAATCCATTTAGGGAACACCTTAAAGATCAAAAAGCGACTGACCACAAAAATTATCGATAAGTTAATGTGTTCACTAGTCACAATGGCGGCCACTTTCAAACATGAATTGACTCACTAAAATCGATGTACTGCACTTGTGGGAATTCGACACACAGCATCGCAGAGATAAGTTAATAATGATTTTCTACACATTATCTACATGTAGCTGCTTGAAATAATGACAGCAGCAGATTCCATAGCCTGCAACATCAGATGCCTTCTTCGGTTATAATCAAAATATTTCATAGAATGATGTGAACTTCAGAAATACAGATTTAATGAAGATAATTATGATCGTTGCAATATTTATTACAATTACTACTGTGCCTACATAGCCACCATTAAAACAGAATACAAGACTAGTAGTCCTTCGCTTTCCTCAAGGATTGTTAAGCAAGCAAAATATGTTAGTGCACGTGAAAGTTTGTCACCTGTGGGGAGAGGTGAGACATGGAAGAAGGAGAGAAATTTCCCTCTGCTTGTCCCCCTCCTTACAAATGGCAATTTCATGCTTGTTCCCACTTAAGCTCGCTCTAGTATCCCTATACAAAATGAGGGACTACTCATTGTCTACTACTCTAATCACAGGCAACACAGGCTTACTAATACTGCCTAAATCTATGAGACCCAAATAAAGAAACACTACCACCATTTCAGGTGGGTATGTTCCAGGTCAAATTTGCTTTCAGGTGTAATTTTGATTTAACCTATATGTAGGTTGATTTTTTATTCCCCTTGTCTCAAAAAAGTATATGTAGAGGGCTAGAAAACATAAGTGCCATTTCAGGTGGGTATGTTCCAGGTTAAATTTCAGTTATTTTGATTTAACCTACATGTAGGTTGATTTTTTATTCTCTTTGTCTCAAAAAATAACTAGAGGGCTAGAAAACAGAGGAAACTTCTATTCCAACTAGGTTGAATTCTGGTTTTACATGACAGAAGATTTTAGCTACATCAGCTATGTTTCTTTAACTGTGTTTGTTAGAGTTAAGCAATGCTGTATTACCTCAGTAGCATGAAGCATGAGGCTAACAGTATCATCAGCCACATTATCCAATCCTGCATCCCAAGCACCAAGAAACAATCGACCATATATTGTAGCAGTGTCGGGTAACATCATATCATAGGTACAAAGTCCAATTTCACTTTCTTCTGATAATTCTTTAAGGGAGAGTTCAGGAGCTCCTTGAAGAGGATCGCATGGAGTGAACCTTTGCTATAAAACGAACACAGTCAGTCAGTAAGATTAGAATGGCTCAAACTCATGCAAGACATTTGTTTTAATGGGTTACATTTATTCATCTTTACCTCAAAATTTGCCTTTAATACTTTTTTGGGTTTCTTGATTTTTCCTTTCTTGATCAGCTGTGGTTTAGGAGCCAGCTTTTGTGGTGTTCTGGGATGTGATGCTGTAGAAATGAAAAGGAAATTCATTCAACAGAACTAAACAGTAGATACTATTCTCATCTTTTAATAATAACCATACAAGTGTAATGCTACAATCATGACAAAATTAGTTGAGACACCTTCTGATGTTTTGCCAACTTTAAAGAAGAAAAATGTAGCTTATCCTCCCCAACCCCCTCCATGCAATGTTGTGCCACTGTTGCTGCCTGTAGAAAACAACAAAACTTCCGTGTGTGACAAACATGACAGGGGTATAACTTGAGTGATTGTTGTGATCCTCAATTGACATTACTGTGTTCTGGTCCTTTACGAAAATATCTGTTCAAAGGAAGGTGAAGTTTGGCAGAAAATGTTTTCTAACAAAATTTTTCTCATGCTTGTCACACAAGGTTTGCCGTCCTTCTTTGCTCTACCATCCTGTTGCATATTAAAAAGTTCCCTATTGTCTGATACTATACAGAATATACATCCAAATATGCAGTTAAGGTTTTGGGTCACCAAAAGTCAAGAAACACAGTCGTCTCCACATGCTACTCACTGCTCATGGAGAGAGACTGTTCAGAAATGACAAACATGTTTCTTCCAGCTTCAAAGTACAAGGCAAGACAAGGTCCCTAATGTTAGATAACATGGATCATTATACATTTCTGGAAAACTGACTACCTACCCCACCCTTAAATCAACATTTTGACCTAAGTGAGAAATAAGTGTTAATGCTGGCTTAGGGGAGGGGTAGCTGAGCAGTTTCCCAGAAACGTATAATCATCCTATAACATTAACTAAGATAACACACCTGGGGTAGCCCCAAGGGCTTGACATTTGGCTAAAATGGCCAGTAAGAAATCGTTGTGAAAATGAACTGAAAAAAAGTCAAATAGAACAAATTGTATGATAATGTTGTGGTTTAATTTCATCCTTGGTTTATGCAGTACAATTTCCCTGTGTTTCAAAGTCATTATCATAAACTGACAGACTAAAACACAAGAGAAAACTAAATTTCAACCAAGGATAAAATTATTGAACCACAACATTTATATAGAGTAAAACAAGAACGGGTTCTTTGTTAAGCCTGTTTTTGTCCCAGTACTGTGTGTTCAACAATCTAACCAATCAAAATGCACAGATTGATCACACTTTACCGCATTTAATGCTGCAGATATCTAAGATAACCTAATGTAAAGTTCCCATAGTAGCAACCCTCGTCACTTTCAGCTCATTACTTTCGGGGTGTCGTTACTCTTGGTGGGTCGTTAATTTCCAGCATCAACATCGATGGTCTACCATACTAACGGACTAGGCGATGTAGAGGAAATCGAATTCTTTTCTGACTCAGGGGAGGAAAGCTAAACTCATTTCTTTTGGTCCATGACAAACAAATGTGTTTTATAGTGCAGTATACTGAAGTTTCAGTTATGTTCCTGTTGTTGATACAAACTTTATATCATTTACGGTAGTTTTTACACTGTTCAATATGTGAACTGACGTCAACGACAAATGATAGTTTCAGGCATGCCATGTTTCCCTTGTTGTAAAACCTAGTTGATTCTAAAGGTTACATTACACTGACTGCAAGTTTAACATTATGTTATGACAAAAATTAATAAAGCAACAACAAATTGACACAAAGTTTTATCACAGCTCTGATCATACAAAATAATTATTGTAAACTTACTGTTGTCATTGCCAAGGCATTTCTTCGCCTGCGTGTCAAACTCCTCTTTGGAAATCTGCATTATGACATTTATAAGACATCAACTGCATTACACAATTTAATATGTATAATAAAGAAAAATCATCAAAAGCATTAGCACAAGATTGTAAGAAAATATACAAATGGTTTGTGTATGTTTGTAGGGATCATGGATTAGAATACCTGTCAGCAAAGCAACTTAAACTGCAGAAGTTACGTTTAAATTTGTAATCAAAACAGGGTTGATTCATAAGATGAAATTTTTTCTCCGTAATTCTCAGACCTTGGAAGAGCTTTCTGTTATGCATATACGGTGTAAATCCAATTTGACTTCACTAGGAAGGTCCAACAGATTTTTACAGTGTTGGGACATAGATTTCTGATCTTTGAAGTATGCCACCATGTATCTTGGTCTTATTTATTTGATTGAATGAAAGGTCACTGTTCTTGAGGTGGCCTAAAACCTATTTACATGTTTGTTTTGGTCGCATTTTTCCAGCAGGAACGATTTAACCAATTTCTGTGATTTTTGGCATCCTTAATGAAGAAAATGTTACTTATTTTCTTGTAGTTATAAAAACACTTGAGATATCGGCATATATTTAAAACCACATTTTATGAAAAATGTAGAGAACTTCAAAATCCTGCAACAGATTCTTCCCTAACATCACCACATAAGCCTTAGAACTCTCATTTTTATCTGCAAGTTTGAAGTCAATAGGGACCATAAAACTTACTGCACAGAATGCTGGTCAAATTTAATTTTAAAATGCTATGCTAACATATTTGTGAAAGTTGACACACAAACAGAGAAAGAGTGCCGACAGACTATCTTCTATCTGAAAGGGTATTCTTACCCAAAGCTTTATTGCAAGAAACTGAATAATCAGAAACCTGTGGGGAGTACAGTTGGCATTACAAGAAGAACAACTTCATGCTGAGTGCACAATGAGATTAAAAAACTTCTATTTATCAAAGTTACTGTGTATTTGATCTTTTCTTTTAAAAAAAAAATCTTATAAAAAGTAGAATATGGCATCTACAGAGATCTCCCACCAGTTTTTAGCATCGAAGGTTCCCATTTTGGGGCAAAATAAAGCCACCAACTCCAGTAATTCGAACCATCCTTTTTTCAACTGCAGTGAAAACCCTTGTACTTGGTAATTCAGTCGAGTTTCTTAGACTAATTGCCATCACATTCACAAGGGCAGTTTGCCATCAGGGATAATGAGAAGAATAAGAAGACTGTCATATTTTTCTTCATCTTTATCCCCAAGTGGCAAACTTCCTGCGTGAATGTAACAGCAACTCTAAAAATCTTGAATAAATTAGCAAATACAAGGTTTTCATTGCAAAAATGGATGGTTAGAAGTACTGGAGTTAGTGGCTTTATTTCTCCTCATGATGGGAACCTGCAACTCTAAGAACTCTTGAGAGTTTTTCGTAGATACTATATTTTGCTTAGTTAAGAATTGTTTCAAAAAGAGAGGGACAAATACAAAGTAAGTTTGATGAATGGAAGGTCTTCAATTTCACCGCACACTCAGCATAAAGTTGTTCTTCTTGTAGTGCTGACTGTATTTGCCATAGGTTCTGATTACTCAGTTTCTTGCAATAAAGCTAGGGTAAGAATTACCCTTTCAAATAGGAGATAGTCTGTTGGCACTCTTCCTCTGTTTGTGCGTCAACTTTCACAAATGTCTTTGCGTAGCAGTTTAAGGTTAAATTTGACCAACCCTTTTGTGCAGCAAGTTGTATGGTCACGATTGAATAATCGACTGTTTGCACGATTCAAAAACATAACCAACACGCATATAAATAGGTTGGGCCACCTTAAATTTTTTACAATTTTAGGCAAACACATCAAGTGTTAATAATATTTTATTGGTGTGCACCATTAGGAAGGTGTTAGAATGGTAATAAGAAACATAATATTAATATCAATATTAATATAATAACAATATAATATGCCACTTGCGAGTTCCAGAAGCCTCACTTTCAAAATGAGACCAAGTGCACAACTTTTCTTGTGAAAATGAGTTTTATTTGCATGAGAATAAAAAGTCATTTCCCTAGGAACTCGGAAATGGCCTAATAGTAGTATTAGTACCGTAAAATTCCGAAAATAAGCCCCGGGGCTTATATTTTTCAAAGGCCCCTTTTGAGGGGCTTAATTTTGGAGGGACTTATTTTCAGGGGGGGGCTTATCTACGCAGGGAATCTTGCGTTTCAAAATTGATTGGGCTAGCCTTATAGTTGAAAGGAAATTCACCGTTTTTGCTTTGCTTTACTTTGTATTTGAGGGCAATTTCCAAGTACAAGCCCCCGGGGGCGGGGGCTATATTTGAAGGGGCGATTTAACAGAGGGTTTTTTGCATTACGAGTTTGGGGGGGGCCTTATATTTGAAAAGGGCTTATACATGGAGGGGCTTATTTTTGCAATTTTACAGTATATTATTACGTTTATTATAAATTATTATTATTATTAAACACCCATCCCATCTTTTGCACTTTGTATATTACCATGATATCTATGAGTATCTTTGAATCCACTTTTAAAGTTTTTAAACTGTTTAGACGACCCTGTATGTGTTACTCACATATTGATAATAAGCTGTACAGTAAAAAGGTTTGTGATGGATAAGGGTACACCGCACTCCACCCCAGCACGTGCCCACAAAGTCCCTCCGACAAGACAGTATATCAAGCTCATGTTTCCGCTTAATACTGCTTAGTTAATACTGACACAAGAATTAAAATTTTACTCTTACAGCTACAATTTAACATTATTTTAAACAAGGTAAAAGATTCCTCTGAAAAGCAGAAACAATATTTTCTTTAAGAGTAGCGGTAATTTAAAGTGTGACAGATAGATAATATACAGTGTTTATAATCGATATTACCTTTTGTTTGTACCACAGCTTCATGTTGTTCCAGTACCTTAAAATGAGAACAAAGAATATAAAATAACATTCGATCAAAGTTTCCTTAAACAAAGAAAAAACAAGAGATCATACGTTTGAGAGAAGTCCCCAAGGGCCTCTCCAAGTTGTCGGCGTGCGACAGTCAAATCGACCGCCATCTTTGTTCTCATCGAAGTACTTTCACGCTGGAAACCGCTGAATAAGTGTGTCCTTCTCTTGCGGAGCGGAGGCGCGCAGCCTGGTTCAGGGGGTGGGAGTCGGATGGGAGACCAAATGGCACCTGGGCACAGCTCATTACCACTAGTATTTTTCCGCAAAAGTGGGGAGTACATTCCGACGTATTACCATTTCTAATTTTTCCCGGAATAGCCGAAACATAGCTAACCTGAAGAAGGCTGGTATGGCCAGCCGAAATATTGTTATCAAAAAACAATACACGTTGTTTTAAATCAGCTTTACAGTAGTCTTTGGACTTCTCGTTCTTGTTCTAAGCCCAATTTGCCCCTAGCCTGAAAACACAGCCGACATTTCGCGACGCTACCACTGTCCTGAACTTAGCAGCTACAAAACGTATCCTTCAGGCATAGTCTTAGACTTTCTCAAAGCTCGTTTTCGGATTCTGCTGTTCCGTCGCTCGTTTTCTCCCGCTTCAACTCTCTGGCAGTGGACTTTTGCCCAATTTAGCATAGCCTGGTCCCTTCAATCTTTCCTGGATTAGGTTTATCAAGAAAGATCGAAGCACCTCTGCTAACAGGGTAAGGAAAAAAAACCGTTGAGCTCTTTCACTTAAGCTGTTACATTTGAATTTGTTTCGTTTGCCCAACTTTGGTTTGTCTTAAGCAACTGGAAACATAGTAGGCAGGAAAATAAACTGCTTTGTATTCGCGTTCTGTATAAAAACCTTTAAAATTAACTATAATATAGCGTGCGCTAAGCCCTACCTACTTTTCTTTATTGAGAAGATTGAAAAAAAAACTTTTTTTAGCACACATTTGACAGCGACTAGTCTTAACTGAGTGATTGTTCAACCCAATACAACAGCAGTTTGTCATTTGCTGAAGGCTGATTGTCGGGGTATTTTCTTATTGTTTGTATTTTCCAGGTGCGAGGACGGCGCCACTTGTTCTTGATCGACTGCGCTAGGAAAGGAGGATATTACCATCTTCCCAAGGTTCTTCGAAATTATGGGGGGGGGGGGCCTTGAGGGTGATGGGGGAGCGAAACCGGGTGCTTTCTTCCTGCACCTTCAAAGTTGAGGAGCCGATTTTGTTGGCTCCTGCCCTTGCTCATTCGACAAGAACAAGAATTATTCCCGGTTAGAGTACAGGCAACTCAAGCTTGTCTTAGGAGATTAGAATGAAGCGTGAAGATCTCCGACACCTCTGAGGTTCGAGGTCAGGGTTTCGTAAAACAGAGCTTTGTTTCTGAGAAGGTCATTGAAAAGTTATGTCGAATTCGAAGTCGAAACTGAAAACAAAGTTAATGAGCCGCTCGGCTCCGTCCTCAGCACATTTACGGTACTACATTAAATACTACGTACAAGTAATGCCTTGAAGTTGACGTGCGAGGAGGGTTTTTCTGGTGTAACCTGAAGTGCAGGCGTTTTCTTCGGGCGCGCGAATTTTTTTCTTTCGCTTAGGGTCACTATTTTTACTCTCCCTAATCTTCCTCCGTCATAACGAAGATGGCGGTTACAACAGTACGAACATAAACAAGCAGCTTTCGCCGGCCCAAAATACGCCTGCACTAGCACTGCAGGCTATATCTGGTGCACCTGGATTTCCTTGAGGGATGAAATGCCCCGGGGGTGGTACTTTAGGAATGTTTGGATGGTGATGTGCTGCTGGGACCCTGGAACCCTGAAAAGATCTTGAAAAAAGTTAGGCCCCCCTCTAGCTATAGCGCCAATCTGAAATAGCCTTGACCACCCTTCTCCCCACCCCCCGCCCCCCTCCCTCTACATAAATAATGACCAGTCCCCCATTCCCTTCTAAACCTCAGTTATGAAATCCAAGTACGGTAAAGATTCGATAAAATCCTGGCTGGAAATCACTCTAGTTCTACCTCTAGCTGGCTTTTGGAAGCGGATATAATTTGGTAATAATGTGGTAAGCGATTTATTAGTTTACCGCAGAAGTGCCACATCCGTTACGGTTTGAATCCAAAAAAGAGGCGAATTTGTGTAGCGTGAGTCTGCAACCGAGAAGGAACCGAGAAATTGGTAAATGGTAAGCAACATTCCGTTTGGTTCGTACCAACCGGAATGAAAGGACTACCTCAAAACGTACTCCTTGGTTTTCGGTTGGAATTTCCGAAAAGTGACCTTACCCCTGATTTACCTTCCATCCGGAATTTCCGAAATTTTCTTTCAGATGGTAAGCACCCCCGGGTGAGACAGGGAATTTTTTTGTAACATTTTCGTTATTATGTTTTGTGTTTTCAAGGCCCGGCCTGCTCGTCGAGATCTCGACCCTAGCAAACAGGTGAACAGGAACTCGGCAAGCTCTAACATAAAAGATGCATGACGATGACCTGAGCCGGCCCGTAATATATACTTATAATGTTACTTTATTTGTCGGTGATTGTTACAGTGGTTGCGTCACTATAGACGACAGTAAACCAGTCACGCATTATCGGACGGACGGATTCGCCCGTTTAGTTGGGTTTGAATGCAGCAATGTATTCTTTAAACTGGACCATGTGGACGCTTCTTTCTTTCCATTTTTTTTTAATTTCTTTCCACTTACAAACAGGCAGCGCCACATCTGTCACTCCAGGTGAGATTAAACCTAAATCATCAGGCTTTGACAATTTGAAAATATATCTTTCGAATTGTTTCCTTGTGGTATGTAGATCGTGTACATGGAACTTGCATACAAATTTGTGACAAATTGAAAGTTACTCGTTGGAAATATCTAAGTTAATCAAGCTGTAACCTTTTTAAAATTCCGATAGTTTGTTGTCGCCTATGGGACTGTGGCCTCAATTATGCACTGTGTAAAACCCAAAACAGGAATATGACCGCCACAGATAGATTAAGTATTAGATAGGTATTATTTGTGGTATACAATCAGAATTTCTGTTTTACGACTTATTTTTAGTAGCTCAAACACTTGAATACCGTCACATATGTACTGGTACCCTTAGGTAGTTCGGTCAGTTCGTACAAGAATTGACAGTACTATAAATTGCAAGTATAAAATTTTAATACTTAATTTAATATTTAGTCATTTCTCTCCCCCGTTTCACAACTTTACAGACTTCATTCTTAATACCGAGTGAATGGGATCATAAGACTCTACTAATTTCGCAAGCAATGGGGGATTTTTTTACTAAGACCTGTTTTATAATTTGAAGCGGCGTCGTCCGGCCAACAGAGACCGTCTAGTCAACTGAGTCAGTTGTTTTAAACAAACACAAGAACAAAACATTGCCGATATCATCATTATTTTATGAATTTGTAATTACTTCTGCTCGCATTTTCCTTAGCGTTGGAGCAGTGTGGAGTGGACATCAGTGATAGAGCCAGGAGCGGTTTCGCCGAGTCCTCCTCTATTCTTCAGGGGCACCCAACGACTGTTTTCTGTAAAATATCTGTTCGGAAAAGCAAACATGGCCTAGAATTTTCTATTGGTTTAGGACGGCTAAAAATTTCTAGATGCCCATTCCATTCATGTGCAATTTTCGAAGCTTGTCTAATTATAAATTTCCTACATTTTTCTGAACTTTATTTTATTTCGGATTCAAAAATGTAACGGAGAGAGGAAAACGGAAAAATTCTCTCTTTCGTAAAATGTTAAATTTCATCTAAAATTTTCGGGAAAATAATACATGAAGCCCTTGTAATTTCGAAAAGACTACAGTTCCCCTACGATGACCGAACAGATACAAATTTTTTAGCGCCCCTTAGAATGCATTTCTAGATATCTAAAAGTACTCAGGATAGCCTAAAAAGTGTTTTCAATGTATTTATTGGAAAATCGTCGTTGGTTGCCCTTGTATTCTTTTCCAAGGCGTAGTGGACCAATATCGCAAAGTCATCTCCACGTCATGTGTGCATAATATAGTCCACTTATATATTCATTTTAAAGCAATCAAAACACATATAGGGCATGAGCTTCCATTTTAAATACTATAAAAAATGAGTCGGTTGCCTTCAATATCATTAAGCATGAGGCTGTGCCGCTCAGTTTCGAAGTTTAAACGGAATTTACTATTTAGGAATGGGGAAGTCGGTTAGACCTGCCCTCCGGCCATGGATACTTACATAGTTTATGCGGTTGTGTATGACAGGTGACCAAGCCTAGCAATTAAACTAACAGAACTCGGAGAGAAATTCATGAAGCAGACAGAATATAACCAAAACTGTAAATATCTTCCAGTTTTGGAAATTTAAAATCAAGAAGTATATCTTGAATTTTCTTGGCATGACAGCAAAGTAGTAGCAATTTCGCGTTATGTGATTAACCTATCCAGATGCGCACATTGAGTAATTCACTTCTCGACAAATATTAAGCTAAATTCTTTAACAATCAAATTCAGTGTGTGCATGCTGAGCAAAACCCTCTAGTTTTGCCACTATTTATGTAGCATTAGGCCCCCCCGAGACGAAAAGCGTATATATTTTCCCTAAAATTAGACCGCAACTTTGATTCCTAACATTTCTCACTCTTGACAATGATGTTCGAATCATCGAACCGTCGAGTATAACGTTTTTAAGTTTAATTTTTCTTGTTTATACAGACAACCAGTTAATACAGACAATATGGAATGTCCCTTTGGTGTCCTCAGTCCGTAATAACTGGGTTCCACTGTCAGATTGACCACCGTCAAAATTAACTGAACTTGATGACCGTAATATTAGAGATCAGAGAGTAAAACTATTGTAACAAAAATCTAGTTAGAAAACTTGAGTACTGACAGTATTGTTTCCGTGGTCCACTAATGAATTTCACAGATAACTCAACAAATCTGTTTCATGGGGAAGGCAAGACTGTATTGAGAACGCCGAATGACTCTGATAGAAAAGGTTAGGAAACTGAGTGACTCAGTTTTTCAGATGAGTTTGCTTCAGTAGTATAATGACCCTAAATGGAGCCTGTGTCACTCAAGTTTCCTAACCCTAATCTCTAAACTTCAGAGTAATTATATGTTCGGCGGCCGTTAGGTGTTCTCGAAAATACCCCTGCCGCTATGCCTACTGCAGTCTTACATAATGTTACCACTACGTCACTAAAGTAATCCAATAAGCTCTTTAATATACATGTCTACATCACGAAACAGGACTACATCTTCTTAGTACAGGCTGCGGGTCTCTTATCGTTCTGCGGAAATTTTCTGTTTTGCAGTGGTATCCACTTCGTCATTCGTAGCCTCTAACTCAACCGTTGATGGGTCGAATTCTACTGAGGTAGTTGTCATGACAACTGCAACTTTAAACACAAACACTATCCAGCCTTTAGAAATTTCGTCAACAGTAGTTTCTGTACCTTCCTCATCAGGTAAGCGATCGTTGTAAGCTGTTGAATAATCTCATTCCCTGAGTCCTCGTTACCCTTGTCCAGTGGAACGGGAGACGCAGACCTCTGGGATAATCCATTCTCCCGTGACAGGATTCTTGGTCTCGTCTCATCTGCGCCAGCGTGAAAAGAAAATACTTATAGTGTCTATTTAAAAAGTCATGCGCAATGCTGGTCACTGGACCATCTGCCTCGCTCTCAGGCAGTCAAGCACCGTTATGGCGCGGAAGATCGACTGGAGACGCGCGCAGCGTGAGCGCTATTAAAAGAGACCGACGCTCGGGAAAAGTGGCTTAAGGTTATGGTTATGTTAGAGTTTGCAATTCTTGACAGGTATTTGATCACTGAATAAAATAACCGTAACCATCAAAAAAGGCATATCAGACTTACTTGATGAAAGAAGATCTTAATCCTTTAAGAAAATGTCCCAATGCGTGATGAGCAAATTCGAATATATTAGATTGTGAATTAATAAGTGCTTTGTCTTTCGTGATAGTTCTTTCCCCCTCTACATCATCCCCGCCTTCCGAAGGGGAACAACAGGCAGTGTTAATGACAGTAGCCGGAATGACTATCGCAGATGTAAGTAACTGATGCCACTTTTTGAATTCCTACCTAAAGTGAGTTGAACGAATTTGTCTTTAAGGGGCAACTCTCGGGAAAATAACCCCTGCTTTTTTTTGTTTGTTTTCTGTTTTACCTTTTCTATGGTTTCCTTATAGTACGTAATATCTTCATTTGATGAAATTACAGTTATATCTGCGAAACGTATATTTGTACGATTTTCATAAAACTCGCTTTTTGCCGCCATTGTGATCATTGTGAAAACATATGGATTTCGGTCACGTGATTTTACGTCACAGGTGTGGAACGCGGATTCTCAAGTGAAGATTATAAGAGAAAAACGAACTAAACTTCTCTTGATGACCACCCCTTGTCCGCGGTACAGGGAAGTGTGAGACGTTATCGATACCAGCTCGTCAGAAAAGGTTCTAACCTTCTCTTATAGACACTCTGAACAATAAATATGTACATGGTACATAGTACAAGGGAGTGCTACGTATACCGCGAAAATTTAATGGATATATCAATGACACCAACATCTTGATTAGTATTGTAGAACCGTTTAGCGATACTACGTAGCTTGTCAGAAAAGACTCTACCATTCCCACAGACGCCAATAAAAAAAATCAGGTTTCTAATTCATTCTCACAGACTTCCACAACAAGTGAAGACGTTCACAGTGAAGGCCAGGAAAATAGTCAGACTCGGAAAAAGAAATTTGAATTCTTCAATGAAAACCCCCTATTTGGTTTATTTTTTTCACTTTTGCTTGTTTTAATTTTAGGAACAGTTTACTGGAAATGAAATATTCTTCCTCCTTTTTTTCAGTTCGAATTGAAAAAAAGTAGTTTTGTCACCGCTTTGGAGACAGCTGTGGAGATGTACTGCTCAAACCGCAGTTGTGAAGAAACAAATCGGAAGAGGTACAATAATAAACAGCAAAAACAAATATCAACTCTCCGCGCCGAGTCACACTTGTAGTATCAAAGTGTAAATAGGAAATATCGTGCGTTGAGTGGCCCGTTTGCTAAGGAGTGGAAAGTTGGTGTCAGTGAATTTCAGGTTACAAATTGAGTCTTTCTAAGAGCCCGACCTCGAAAACCGATATTCTATTTTTTTTGGCAGAAACAATTTACATTTTAGGCTTCTTATCTACCTGTTGTTCTGTTATACGCGCTTATTAATTCCTCTAGCTAACTACCAGCATATGGGTTTTGTAGAGGAGGGATCAGTAGATTATTTTAAACAAAAATTTGTTCTTAAGGTTTTCTACAAGTATCATCGAATTTGCCTTTAAAACTGGCTATTGCAACATGGAAGCTGTTCTTTAGGTGGTAACTTTACGGCCAGTACATGGAAAAGCTAGTTCCATGTGTTACGATAGCTTCTGGAAATTTTCGCTGGTTTACGACAATTACAAGTACTTTTAATTGCGGTTTTCTAAATTTGCCCTTCGACCCTCTTCAAATTTGTTTTTCGGAGAATGGTTGACTGATTTTCAAAGCTCCCGCGAGTACTAATGACACTAATATATGAAAAACTGATCGTTAACGGATCGTTAAGTCCCTAGCATTCAGGGCCGGGTTGTTCGAAGCTGGGTTAAGATAACCCCGGGTTAGCGCTAACCGGCGTTCGAACAACTGGGCCCTGGGCGATACGCAA